AAAAAAAAGTCCAAAATTATCAAATCAATAAGAATTTAATTGATACTAAAGGGGAAAGACAACATGATCATGTTTGATTATAGTCATCAATTAAATTTTAACTAATTTATTTCAATTAAAATATAACAGGATTAATTTCTTTTAATCTAAAAAGTATGAAGAGAGATTTATTTTAAAAAAATAAAAGTTTATTTTAATATTAAAATATCTAATAATACTCACATATTAAATTTGATAAAATTTGGATTCATAGTATGCATCACATATTTAATGATAGTAATAAGACATCTAATAATAGTTACTAATAAATTTTTGACAAGGGTAGAAGAGAGAACCACTATAAAGCAAGTTACATATTTAGAATTCAACAGATAAATAAGGGCTTGAATTGCACAGAAGTGGTCGCTTGACGGGTTCAGAGGTTCAGACGCGTTTTTTCTCTACGCGGCAGGAGAAAGTCTACTATATCCCCGGTATACCAGTTGATGTGGTATCCTGTCCAATAACAAAATGACAGGTAACAACGTTTTATCAAATCATAGCCAACTCACGACATGCAACCGGAAAATTATTAACACCGTTAAACTTTTATATTCTCCAATGCTCCCTTTTCTCGCTGCACTTCACTCAGTTGCCTGCCTCTCCTCCTCCTCCACCTCAATCAAAACAGAAACAAAAAATTATTTTCCATAGAGCATGCTAAGACCTCAAGAATTCGACTCCAGTAACAGATTCTCATGATCTGAATGAAAAATCTAAACATTTTGAGGGAAATTTTCGTAGGCAGCATCGACATAACATAAACAATTTTTTTTTATAGGCCAACAAGCATAAATTGTCAATTGTCTTAGACTTTTTTGTGATTTGTATTATAGACCCATTTTGTTATTGCAAAACACAAACAAATCAAAGTACCAACCCCTCCCTTCTCCATCAAATCTTCCGAAAGACCAAACCAACCCCCATATCTCTCTAAGTTTCTACAAGTGGGGAAAGAATCCATTTGGGTTTTGACCTCAAATCCCAGTATAACATCATCATTGCACTCTAATTGGGTATTTTGCATCCTGTAAACCCTATCTCTATACTTCAAAATTGTGAAGTTCAAATTAAAAATGTTACTACAATCTTTAGTTTAATTAGTTTTATTTACAACAATCTGGATCGTATTAAAAACTCAATCAACACTAATTTCACAAACCAAGTTCATACTATTGTTTGTGATGCTAAAGGAGACTAAAAAAATGGGTCATACCTCTAATCCACATTTCATTAACGAAAAAACCAAGGATGAAAGTGAAAATAATGGAGGAGGAGTAGTTTGATTTTGTGTCAGTTTATCTCTAAGAGTTTGCCATGGTCGTGGGGGTAGGGGTGGGACTGGTGGCTTCGAAGTCGGTGAACTGAAAGGTTAGGGTAAGGAAGAAAAGGAAAAGGCAAGCCTGAGAAGGATGGGGGATTGCAGTTTGTAACGGCGTAAGCCCTTCTCAGTAACGATATTAACACAAAATTTTTAATTATTTTTGCGCATGAGCTGGCAATATTTGATTGGGTAGGGATGCAAGTGACGTGCTATACCAGTGATATACTAGACTTTCTCACGCGGCAGAGGCTTTGACGTTTTGCGGTTCGCGCATTTGAAAAACGATAGAA